CTGTCATTCAAGCTTCAGCTCTAACGTCACCTTCCCATAGAGGCCTTCTCTGAGCATTAGCTAAAGTCGCCCCCAGCTCTGCCACTCTCCACCCTACCTGATTATGCCTTTCGTGTCATCATCTAAAATTCTCCTCCAGAACATAGGCTCCATGAGAGCAGGATTCCTACCTTGTCTGTCATACCCACTCCTAAAACAGGGTCTGACTTAAGATAATTGTGGAGTGAATCAATGGGTAGGATGAGTTTTGAGATTTGTTTAACTTAAAAACTGATATATAATTTAAATGCCATAAAATTCAGATATTTATGTTTACAATTCAATAGTTTTTTAGGATACTGGAGTATGAAACCGTCATCACAATGTATATTAAAACATTTCCCTCAAAGGCAGAGACAGAGCCCATAGGAACATGCCATCCTTCTTTACACCCTAAGCCCTGGGGTGTAAACTAAGCTACTTTCGGTGTCTATAGAGTTCCCTATTCTGGACTTTGGTAGAAATAGATTGATACAAGATCTGGTCTTTTGTGTCTGGCTTCTTTCACTTAGCATGATGTTTTCATGAATGTTTCATACATGTTAGAGCACGTGTCAGTATCTCATTCTGTTTCATGGCTGATATTCCATTGTATGGATATACTACATTTTGGTTTTTTTTTCCTACAGGGATCTTGCTTATGTTGCCCAGGCTGGTCTCAAACTCCTAGACTCAAGTGATTCCCCCTCCCCAGCCTCGCTAGCGCTAGGACTAAAGGTATTCACTGCTGTACCCAGCTGAATATACAACATTGGGTTTGGCCATCCATCTGTTGACGGGCATTCGTTTTGTTACCACTTTTGGACTACTATGGGCAATACTATAAACATCTGTTTCTAAGTTTGTTGTTGTTGTTGTTGTTGTTGTTGTTTTAGAGACAGTCTCACTCTATCACCCTTGGTAGAGTGCCATGGCATCACACAGCTCACAGCAACCTCCAACTCCTGGGCTTAGGCGATTTTCCTGCCTCAGCCTCCAGAGTAGCTGGGACTACAGGGGCCTGCCACAACGCGCGGCTATTTTTTTTTTGTTGCAGTTTGGCCGGGGCCAGGTTTGAACCCGCCACCCTCGGTATATGGGGCTGGTGCCCTACTCACTGAACCACAGGTGCTGTCCTGCTTCTAAGTTTTTGTGTGGACATATATTTTCTGTTCTTTGTGGTACATGTCTAGTCCTATGTTGAGAGGGGTTTTTAAAACAAGAACCATGTCTGGTTCCCTAGGTTTGTTGCATGCTGAAAGGTAGACAAGGTGCTGAAGAAAGAGGTAGAGACTTTCCAGATGGGAGAACAACCAGAGCCCGGCTTAGAGGGAAGACCTAGCTTGTGATGTGTTCCAGGGAGTAGCCTAGGGAACTGGTGCATGGAAGATAAGCTTTGATGCAATAGGCAGGAAGATATAGCTGGATCTTTGACAAGGAAGGACTTGCAGATTAGAAGAAATTTGAGGGGGGAAAAGGTGGAAAAGGAAAGAATAACTAGGACAAAGAGGAAGAACTCAACAAACCTTCAGTTAGGAGGGTGCAGGCAGAGGAGAGGCTAAGGTGAGGCTGGGAAAAGGTTGGGGAGGCTCTAAAAGTCATTTACCTGCCCTGATGCCTCTGAGATAAAGGGGTCTCCCAACTGCCTGGGGTGGTTAGACAGGTCCCCAAGAAACCAGGAAAAACCTTTAATCTAAATACCCCTTTGCCTTTCCTATCTGACAAAGTACATACCTATATACCCTGCCAACCAGGTAGCTTTTGTTTTTCTCTTCTCTGAAAGATTTCCTCCTTGTGGTAAGCAAGATTTTCCTAAGAAAGGTGTAGTGTAGATTCTTCCTCCCTCTTGCCTGCATTTGTTGGCCTCCTTCAAGATCTCTGTCTATGCTAAAAGCCTCAGAGGCAGAGACAGCGCACAGAAGCGTGCACACAGGCTGGTGCTGCCCTGAACAGAGGCTCAAGTCCTCCCCTGCACCTGCTCCAACATTCAAGGCTCTCTGTGTACAGTCCTTCCAATGCATGCCCCTATGGAGGTGTCCAGAAGCTCTGTTCAGCCTGGGCCCCCAGGCTAGGGAGGACCTAAGTAAGAGGCGGCCAGGACTCTCCTCTCCCACGTGTCATCAGGCACTCTCCCCTTCTCCTCCGCAACAGCTGGCTTTAACAGATTTGTTAAACCAATCCCCCACTCACAAGTACTAGAGCACACTAGATGGTAATCACTTAAGCTGAAAAGCACTTACTTGCCAGGGTATTAGCATTTTAACTGAGACATGGCAAGGCCACATGGAATCAAGCTTAGCGGCTGGTTTCTGGGCTGGTGCAAGTTGTTTGTTTTGGGGGATGGGGAACTGTGATGAGAGCAGCCCAGAGTTACCTGGGTGGTAGTAGACTCTGCCTACACTCAAGGTTACCCCTGGGACATCTCTCCATTTCCACTGGAAGTCTGCTTTGCTCTTAACTTCAGGAAAGGGTTTTTGATGACTTTTTGTCTTGGAAGTGGGAGGACTCAGGTTCAGAATTTAAACATGAACCACTGATAGGACATACCTCCCTTAATGATCCCCGCAGGAAGCTCCAGAGGCCTTACCACTGCCTACCTCTGAGTTGAGAGAGCTCAGGAATGCTCAGCCTCTGAGTATACACAAGGATACTCATTCCATGCCCCTGCTCTGCAGAGCTGAAGCTGGCTACTCACAAAGCAAGAGGCAGTGCCAAAGCGTCTGGCTCTAGAGACAAATGCCTGGGTTCAAATGCTGGCTAGGTGTCTTCTTCAAAACTGCATAATGTGGGCCAAGTTCTTAACCTTTCAGTACCTCAGTTTTCTTATGTACAAAATACAGAGTGTCTGTCCCAAAAATTACCCATAAAGTCACCATACATAGGGAAAATGGGAAATTTTAGAGAGAGAGATGGCCAACATGTACAGAATATTTTGTAAATATTTTGTAAAAAATTTATAATGAATATTTTGTAAATAAAGGTAGATTTAGCTACAATTTTCCATTTTCCCTATGTATGGCAACATTATGGGTGACTTTATGGGTGACAGCTCTATCTGTAAAGATAATAGCACTAACCAGGGTTGCAGTGAAGGTTAAATGTGAAGATTGAATGGTTGATACATGTAAAGCACTACAAATAGTGCCTGGGACAAAGTGAGTGCAAAATAAAGTTAATTATGATTGTGACCATTGTCGTTTTTCTTTTCTGTGAGCCAGGGTCCTGCTGTAGGACCCTCTTTCACTGTTCAGACCCCCCTGTTAAGTAAGGAGTCCCGAGGGAGGCACAGAGCTGTCCAGGAAGAGGTACGTATCTCTGCTGGCTTCACAAAACCTGGCTTGCCAACCTGTCATTTAGAATTATCCTCACTCCCTTTCCTGTTCTTTGCACAACATGTGTTCTTAAAAGTTCCAGGTAAAGGAGCTTTTGTAAGTCAAAGTACTTAACAAAAAACTGCTGATACTTGAAGGTACTTTATCTTCATTTCTAATTAAGACTCTAGGCAGAATGAATCTTGGGCTCTTTCTTAAGATTTTCTGAATCTTCTGTACATCCAAGCCTGTACCAAACCCACAAAAACACTGGTGCACACAAGGAGACTTGCTCTTAAGGAAAGAATTCTTCAGTTTACAGGGGTGGGGGTGGGGTGGGGGAGTTAATCACTCCCCAAATACTAATGTTTTAAAGTAGGTTCCATCTGTACTGTCACCTGTGCTGGCTATAGGCTCTGAAAGTGAAGTGGACAGGAACACCCACCCTCATGGTACTTCCAGGAGTGAGCCAAAGGGCAAGAGCTCTTGGTCCAGAATGATCCTTTCAGAGGTTTCTCTGGGATAGTCCAAGTGTGATTTTGTCCCTAGGTCAGCTCCTTTCTTGAGTCCATGCAGTTTAGAAACCACTCGGCCAGGCGCTGGGACTAGGAAAATCATGTAGCAGCCACTGGCTTGCAAGTCATCTACTCCCTCTTCTATTCTGGGTCTCTGTTTTCCCAGCTGCAGCAAGGGAGTGAATCCTGCTGCTTATCCATAAGGGCGCCCATGGAGGTGGCCCAGTCCAATTTGAGCCCGGAAAATGAGGCTCTGCAAGGGTATCCAAAGGGTATCCTCTGGGGGACATGCCAGGGAGAGGCCAGAGCCCTGTCCTGGGGCAAAGGCCAGGGAGTCTAGCATGGGAGGAGGTGGGAAACAGAGGGGAATGCTGATGCCAGGAATGGAGTGTCACTCTACCAAGCTATGGGTGAGATACCCTGGGCCTTTACCCTGGCCCCAGCCGTGAGGTCCTATGTGTCCCAGAGGCAGAAAGGCTCTACCTCCAGGGGCCAATCCAGGAGCTGTGTCCTGGTTCCCTTGGAAGCAGGACCACACAGGACCTACCAGCCCTGTCTGGGGTGGTGGAGAAGGGACAGTCTGTGTCAGCTTACATGAAGCTCATTATGCGTGGAGCCCAGTCCTGGGTGCTCAGTCAAGCTGCAGGCCAGCTCTGACACCCAGCACCACCATTGAGTTGGCCCTCCCACTGTCCTTCCAAGTCACTTCCAATTCTGACAGCGATAGCAACAGCGGGTCTACTGACAAACCTCAGAGGACTGTGCAAGAGAGGGACCCTCTCCACCTCTGCAAACTCCATCACTCTCCTTTCTCTTCCCTGGGGTAGTGGGTAGGGGAAGAGGTGGGAACTGGTTTTACCCTCTCACTTGGGTGACAGACGACAAATAAATAATTCAGAAGTCACCTTCAGTCTCTGAGGAGAGTTTTCCGGGGAGAGGTGGGGTGGGGAGGAAAGCAACCCTTCTGCCCAGTCGCCCAGGCGGGGCGCAGCTGGTGGAGCTGGAAAGGGTGGTCGCTGCCAACCCAGAGGCGAGGGCGACGGACAGCCCAGCGCTGTTGGGACAGAGACCGGGTAAGGAGGCGGGAGGGAAGGGTCGGCACGGCGGGGGTGGGCGTCCAAAGACTGGGGCGGGGGCGCGCGGCCAAGGCACTCACGTCCTCTTGAAGACGCCCCCGAGGGCGCTGCCCAGCAGGAGGCAGAGCTGCTGCGAGAAGAAGACCCAGGAGATCTGGGGCAGCGAGCTGTGCGTCTGGCAGCGCAGGTCCAGCAGCGTGGGCCCGAGGAAGGCGATGCACAGGCCGAAGCTGAAGAAGACGCTCCAGTAGGTGAGCGTGGGCTGCAGATTGCGGCGGAGCAGCCCCGACACGCGGCCGTCGCAGCCCATGGCCCCGGCTGGCGGGCTCGCGGCTCTGGCTCGGAGCGAGCCCGGTGCCCGAGTGGCGCGCCGCCCGCGGGAGGGCCGGCTGGCCAGGGGAGGCCGGCGGCCGGGAGGGAGGGGCGGGG